AGGTGTCGTACAGGATATGTTTTGGGGAGCAGATTTACAATAGGGTTTCTGAGGATCATCGTACAGCCAGTCATAAGCAGTCTTATCACAGCAGGAATCACTCTCTGTTTCACCATGTCGACGTACACAGGAGCTTCCACCACACACACCTTGAAAATGAAGAAAACAATGTCAGTGCGTATCCTGTGTAGATAAATAAACTCAATTATTTTATTTCATACATTTGGCTGGAGTAGATGTCAGATTTTCAATTACTGATAATTACTCATTTACTTTTTAGTGCACTTTTCTTACTGATGTGCTCAAGTGTAATATTAATTAGTACTGTATATTCACCTAATAAGAATTTGTGTAAGTTCATTAAGAAATCTAAATTAAGAAATTGCAAAATCATTATGAGTACTAATGATATTTGTTATAGATCATGCACAGCAGTGAATCATAGCAAGTGGTCAACAAATCTTTTTTGTGTATATTGTACATACCACATTGTCCTTGTGTATTGTTTTTAAAATACTGCATTGCTACTTTCACTTCGACCCTGTTGCGTGGAGTTAGTGATACTGTTGATCTAATCTTGTCAATAAAAATCATAACTATGTTTTCTGTTGTCAGAAGTCTTATTCCATTGGATTCATACGGAGGTTTCACAGTAGCTTTGTTAAATGTAGACTGCAAAATAAAAAGGCAACATATAAATAAAAATAATAAGGCAACATATGAATAATTATACATTATTTTTGTGAATGTCAGCAAATTAGAAGTGATACCGGGAAGGCTTATAGTCTCAGTATTTTTTTAGGCCATGCTAAACAAAGATAATTAAGTGATCTACCATACACTGTTTTACAATTAGTTCATTTCTGAGATTTCTGAAATTTAATCATTTTGGCTCAAACAGGTTAACCTCCAGTCAAAAAAGTGCTTCAACATCATACTGTACATCATCCATTTTCGAAGTACTTCATCAAGTTAATGGTTGCAGGAAAGTTGGAACCTATCCTGGCAAGCAACAGACAAAAGGCAGGATACACCATGGAAAGGTTGCCACTCCATCGCAGGATGTACAAAGACACAAACACACACACTCACCCTGGATGCCAATTAACCTCCAAGTATCTTTTTGGACTGTGGGAGGAGACTGGAGCACATATAAACTCTTTGCAGATAGCACCCCAGGATTTGGGTCCAGAGACCCAGCACTGCAAGGCAGCAAAGCTCACCATTGTCCCAAAGGTGCCCACATCATACATTACAGAAGTAATTTTGTCAGTCACATAAATGCTACTTTTACTTAAAAATTCAACAGAAAACCAGACCTTCTTTAAATTGTCTTAAAACCCCACCACAAAAACACTCTTAAATTTGTAATAAAACTGTATTTTAAGTCTAAATTACTTACCACAATGACTTTGTTTACTATGGTTAGAGCCACAGTATTTTCTTCATATCTTAATATAATCCCTTTAGCACAAGATGCCCTGCTTCCTGAAATACAGTAATAGTTGTCTACTGCAACAGAAAAATTATATTTTGGAATCTTCTCCTCGACTAGGGTATAAGTACAGTTTTCCAGGAATTCGTATCGAGTTCCACTAAATGTCACATAGTGAGGGTCTCCAAATACTTCACATAGACCTTAAAGAAAATGTAGAAAAACATGAAGAAATGAAAGAATATAATACATGACACATAATGTTTGAACTTATCTGTTTCTTCTGTCCTAAGAGCTGTATAAGCTTAATATTCTTTATACTCACAATCACAATCCCATGTCTTACAATAGCCATCAGTGATCTTCTTAGGTTCTGAGTTTCTGGGGCACACAGGTTTCACAGTTTGGGGGCATGAGTATGGTTGTTCTATAATGGTTATAAAAATAAAGACTATTTTAGATCTTTTCAGGCCATAACAGAACAAATAGAAGAACAAAACTAAAAAAAACATGCAAGACCACTTTTCCCTGAACACCCCTATAGTAAACAAAAGCTGAACTTCATCCATGTGAATATTTGAATTTGTATACCCTTAGCCAATTAACTAATAATCACATATTGAATCCCCACTGTGGTCATTTAAAAGCAATTTAAATGCTGTTCAGCAGCCTCAAGAGGCAAGTCATTTGCAATTGCAATTGCAAGAAAGAAGGCTTTTTTATATATTCAATCTAAGATGGGTTTTGCAATTTTTACATCCATTCATTTTCAAACCACTTTGTCAAATTCAGTGTTGGGGTGCTGGAGTCTATCTCAACCAGTAATGTGTGTAAGGTGGGGTACACCCTGGACAGGACACCAGTTGATCATAGGGCACACAAAGACACACACATTCACACCAGGTCCAATACTCCCACATGCCAATTAACCTACCTGTAAGCTTTTGGATTGTGGGAGGAAACTAGACCACTTGGGGAAGAACCACATGAACTCAATGTGAACATACAAACTCCAAACAGATAGCACACTGAAGCCAGACCCCCAGTGCTACATGGCGGCAATACTAACTATTCCATCACTGTGCTGTGTAAAGTGTGCATTTGAGTTAACAAAATTGTTTGTCAAAGTAGAATAATAATTGTGGAAATAATAAAAAATGCTTAAAATGCATTTTGGAAATATGCAGTACTGAATGATTTTTAGCAAAAAAACATGCAATGAAAAAATATTAAGCTGCAATATTTTGGATTATACTGTAATTAAGAATGTTTACAGAAACATCTAAACTGTAAAAGTAACTAAAACTGTAAAATGTGATAGTGTCACGATTGAAGAACATTACATTCAATAGTGTGACTGTTATCACATTATAGATCCATGTATAAAAATAATTATTTCCTATTGATTTTACCTGTCTCCATTTAACTATATTATTACGTCTTTTTCAGAAGCTCCTGGACTCCATGGAGGAGTACCTTCTGTCTAACAGCTATTGGAATGTGAAGGGTGTGTCTAGACTGATTTGTTAAATCAGTAGCAGAATGACCTGTACAATTCATCCTTCACATAAGAATTAATATGTTGTATATATCTAAATTAAGATATGGTTGTGTTCTGGCATGCTCCGAATCAATTTAGTTTTACAGAGCTACTGAAGATATCACAATGTATTTGGAGCATACTGTATATTAATATTATTAGACCTGAACACACATTTAAAAAATGAAAGCCAGAAATGTTATAAATGAGAATTACTAATGAGAGGAAGTCATTCAGTTTATGAAAAAATGGTGTACTCTTTTGCTTTAGCGAAATTTAGTAAATGTAAATATATGAGAGTATTTCATGGCATGCATTATATACCAACATAAATATTAGATCTGTCTCAAAATTGATATGATTTTAAAATTACTGACACAACACCATTAGACACTGAAGGATGTTAACATCTTAAATTACCTGGTGTTCCAGATATTGTTGACATAGTTGTTGGAGTTGCTGTTGATGTAATTGTGGTTGATGTTGGTGTAGTTGTTGATGTGGTTGTTGTTGGAGTTGTTGTTGATGTTATTGTGGTTGATGTTTGTGTAGTTGTTGATGTTGTGCTTGTGGTGGTTGTTGGTGTTGTTGTGCTTGTGGTTGTTGGAGTTGTTGTTGATGTAATTGTAGTTGATGTTGGTGTAGTTGATGATGTCGTGGTTGTTGTTGGAGTTGTTGTCGATGTTGTGGTTGTTGTTGGAGTTGTTGTTGATGTAATTGTGGTTGATGTTGGTGTAGTTGATGTT